TATGTGTATATGTATGTGTATATAATAAAAATAAACCCTGATCCTTTGCTTTGGGATATTGACCTCATAGAAGGTGTAGTAGCCGTTTATCAAACTGCAGCAGGTGTTTTGTTCAGTGAAACCCAGATCTTGAGTGAAGGTTTTTCCAGTTTTGCAAGTCATTTATGGACACAAGCACACAGACTGTGGGTTATTATTTATATCATCAATGCAATACAGTTGCAGTTCATATAACAATAAAGTAACTTACTTGCATTATAATTTCAGATAAGCAGAAATGGTTTGGATTTGGTAGGTACATTTGTTGTTAGCCACATTTTGGAGGAACTCACTTTTAGGCTGCATGATGACTTTCTGCAGGGCTAAGCTGTTTCTCACAAGTCAGTTTAGCTGTAGTGACTCCTACAGTTTTTTTTCATTGACAACCGTTACCAAAGTTTGGAAACATAACCCAATCCAGATGTTGTCTGTGGTACATTACAGCTTTTTACTAATCAAGAGCACAACATTATAGTGTATTTTTGCATAATTTGTGTTGGCCTCTCTTAAGATTAAAAATGTATATGCAATAAAGATTTATCTCCTTTTGTTTAGTTTCTACTTTGTTTTAATCTAATCTATAGCCCTGTAAATGTTGTATGTTGTGTGAATTACAGTTTATTGATATCTTGTTTATGTAACACATTGCGATTTCTAAGGCAGGAAAATGCTAGGAAAAATTATGAATAATTTTTTCAGTGCACTGCATAGGATTGAACTGAAACTGTTTATCTGTCTACAGGAGTATTGGTGTTATCACCTACATACTGTGAGTATGAAAAAAGAAAGTGTTGGAACTTTTTTTCAAAAAAACTTTTATATGTTACAAATGTAGCTACTACTTCAAGCATTTAGCTTTATAATAACCATAACACAACGTAGGTTATGCATATGGAAAGACTGTTCTGTAAATTCTTTGCAATTTCATGATGGGGCTTTTGGCTCTTCTAGCAACCTTGTACTCTGCAGTGGTTGGAGAATGGGTTATTTCTTCTTCAATCATGTAACCTGCCACAGAATGGCTTTTAACATCTATGTATTTAATTTCACTGTCACTGAATTTCCTCTTCGATAGGCTGAGTGGTATGTCCCCCTTCCAAGGAGATACAGATGAGGAGACTTTAAACAACATTGTAGCAATGAACTATGAAATTGAGGACAGATATTTTCCAGACACCAGTGAAAATGCTAAGGAATTTATCAAGAATCTGCTGGTGAAAGATCAGAGGTAATTACATTTTTTTGCCTGACTCATCATGGATGATTGAGTAGTTTGTGGACTGGGGGGGCAGGGAGGTCAGTTAAGAATTTCTGTGGGAAGAGACGGAAAGCCCAAATAAATATTAAAAGTAGACAATGTAAAAGGCCTACCATTAGTGGTCTGTATTTGAATGCTAGGAGTATTAGAAACAAAATTAATGACTTAGAGGCTTTAATTTCTTCAGACAATTACTACATTATAGGAATA